AATAGGTGGGGGAGAGGAGGGGAGGGGGGAATCCACCTGTGTTTTATTGTGCAGGTCCCTCATGTTTAAACCATATAATTACTTGGCTAACTAACTAACCATTGATCCTGCCTTTGAATTAATATATTCTTAATGCCCCAATATGTGCAAATGTGTGATGAACACCATGTCAAAACAAACACAACTGAATTACTGTATACAGGCAGGAAAGTATACCCACCTGATTTTAAACCTACTAGTGGAGAAATGAGCAGAAACATTCTATTGGTTACCATGGTGATAGCATCACTTTTAGAACGTTGCCCTAGATTTCCCCTTTACCCATAACCTTATAGTGTAGTGACAGCTTGGTCCATGCTCAGTCTGCTAACAAGGATACAGTGCTTGAGATAAATACTCCCCAACTCCACTCCAGCTAATGAAAAGGCTTTATATTAAATATACACAAACATTTCTTCTTTCCAAAGACAGGTGGTAGAGCGATATTAAAAGAGAAGAATAAAATTCACTTTAATGAGCATTGTTAATTAAACCTGGAAATCAAAGAGAACAGAGTTGTGGGAATTTGTAGCCAAATGAAATGAAGGCAGATATTGCTAGAGGGTGGAATAGCTGAATGAAATTAAATTTAATGTGGGCTGTGTTTGCTAATGCCTGTCACACATCACAGTGAATTAACCTGGAAAGCAAAATGTTTCATACTTCGATACAAATGATCATTACATGCATGGCACCAACAATGGGACGGTCTCACCTAAATCAGAGTGCACCAGGCTGCATCTATTTACAGTCAAAATAAAAAGATCAGGTCAGGAGTAGGGGCTCATAGAACCAAACAGAGGGAGGAAATAGGAGGAATTTTCTATTAATTCAATTTTACACATACACACACACCTACACATATATATAATGTACAGATTTAATTGAATTAAGGAAAACAAATATATACAGACGATTTGTCCTCCCATTGCTAAGAAACACAATGATCCAATGAATACATCAAGTCAAATTATTTTATTAAGAATCTTGGATTTTTAGGTTTATGCTTTTATTTAAATTGTATTTTAAATATTTTCCTTTTCCGATTAGTATATGCAAAGACTTTCTGTTTTGTTTAATTTTTTTGTTATCGTTATTTATATACTGAGGAATACACTCAGATTTTTCTATTTTTCCAAAATGCCCTGGGGTGCTCAAACAATACAATCTTTAAACAAAAATGTATTAACATGACTTTATAAAAATATTAGACACTATGCAAATCTCTCATCCATTGTTCCATCTTTATTACTGCTATTATCATTGTATTCATGTTTATATTAGTGTTAGAATAAATATTACATTTATATAATATAAAGTACATTTCCCATGTTGTTGTAGAAGCAAGGGGGAGATTTCTTGTCCATAGAGGGTAAATCGATTCTCCCCGTTTGTGTTACATTCTTTCATGTGGTTTGTGTTAATAGATTCCCTGGTCTTCTTTAGGAATACCATTGTCCTATAACTGCAACATATTAAACTCCAGAAATTTCTGTATAACTAAATTAGTGATGGGAAGTTAAATCCATTTATCTGTGTATGGAAAACACATTGCATTTGGTAAGGATGAGTATCTGAGAATTTCTCTCCACTGATCTTCCTGTCTGCAAGGTAGAAAAGTACCTCTGACAATAAATACGTGTAAATATACCTGTGATATTCCTAATTAAATGACGGGCCATCTGTAAAGTATCCAAAAATATATTGTAACTCCCTGTTAAAATTGTAATATAAAAATAAAATGTTATTTATGAATTGGGTTAAATTTATTAAATTTGGGCCAAGACAGCTATGCAACAACAAAAAAACAACATCAACTCAATTCTATTCACAATTTGATTAATTTGCAACAGTGTGGTGTTCGGATTATCACAATTGAATGTTTAGTTGATAAGCCCCGAATAATTAAAACGATAGAGTCTCTGTAGTATTGTCTTGAGAAAGGTCTGGTGTCCGAAACGTCTTGTCGTAAACTGTGATTTTTCAAGATCTGAGAATGATGCAATGCTCTATCTATTAGATTAGATTTGAATCTGAGTTTATAAGTGTCAAATAAAGTCTATGAAAGGTAAAATACATGCACTATCCTGCTGTGCGACGTGAAGTTTAGATGTTTCCTTCTCAAATGTCCACAGATCCACAGAGCAAGTAAATATATAATACACAGAGACTGGCAGAGAGGGCCATTAGAGGGAGGATGGATAGATAGATAGATAGATAGATAGATAGATAGATAAACAGACAGATAGATAGATAGATAGATAGATAGATAGATAGATAGATAGATAGATAGATAGATAGATAGATAGATAGATAGATAGATAGATACAGATAGATTGATAGATAGATAGATTGATAGATAGATAGATAGATAGATAGATAGATTGATAGACAGATAGATAGATAGATAGATAGATAGATAGATAGATAGATCGTAAGATAGATAGATAGATAGATAGATAGATAGATAGATAGATAGATAGATAGATAGATAGATAGATAGATTAGACAGACAGTAGATCAATCGATCTACTTCTTGGTTCTGTAGAGGTTAATGTGATCCCAGAGGATCTAGCAGGTCTCTTTAACACATAGTTATGAGTGCAGCAGGTGACAGTAATATCTGTCTGTTTAATGTGACAGACTGACAGGTGTGCAGTGTCCCCTTTACCTGTCCATCCTGACTTGCTATGTGCCACTGACCATCCCAGGAACAACTAAATGGGGTTGTTATTGTCGCAAGAGAGAAAAGTAAAGAAGATTTTAGCATTTTAATCTGGATTTCTCTGTTTTTATTTTAATGCAATTTTCATGGTAAACACTTTTTAATTATTCTTTATTTAAAGATAATATGTTTCTTGAATTGAATTGATAAAATGCACAGCTAGCTATTCTAGATGAGTATTATTATGCAGTCCTTGTTACACACTCTTGTTCTGGGTCAGGGTTCTAGAGCCAGGGTTCAGGATCCACCAGCAGGAACCCATCCTGACATCTAATATGATTTCCGAGGTAAACCATGAAATAAATCATGTCTCGCTCTTGCTGTGCTTGCTAGGGGTGGGCATCCATGGTCTGTACGGCAGTATTGTGAATCAATATTGCAATCTTCTCGACCTGATGATCTCATGCCTAGAACATTGTTTGAGACTCTATTAATGCTGGCAGATGACCCTAATATATAGCTGTGCACACTTATTAAGGGTTTAGTTGTTTGTTTGTTTTTTTTTATATATATAATCTTTATTTCGATTTTCTCATCACATAAAAAGTAAACATGTATTACAGACATTCGTCATAGACATAAACCGATAGTCATCGAACAAAACTACAAACACTTTACCTGACATTTTTAGTTTTTGGAGGGTTTTTTAAGTTATTGGTTTGATGGTTATTAATTGTTATATGATTGTATTCTTTATTGCAAAGTTATGTGCAGTGTACCCCTATTTGCTGCCAACATGGAATTAAGAGTGCACGATCTGATCATTCGAGTTTGCCATGTGATTTTCCTCACACATTGTCCTAATGTAAGCATGCTGCCATCTAAATAAAGTGGTGTACAAATGTTGGCATGGCTCAGAGGAGCTGGAATGAAGCCTCACTGGCAGAATGATTAGCCCCCTAGGATTGTACTTGTGAAATAAGGTGTGATTTCATATTGTGGCCTTGGATGGGGGATTACTACTTCCACTGAATCTGTGGGGCTATAGGCGAGTTGTAGCCATGGTTAGAATTCCCACACAGCTCTACATTCTAGAATGTTATCTCCTGTGCACAGTGCTTGTGACTGAGTCTAACGCCGGGCTCCAGGCATTCACACAGGGAAACACACGGGATTCACAACCACACACCCGCAGACTTCAAAGAGCAGTTGATTGAAGGGATGGGGGTGGGTAACATCAAAATAAAGCCAATGGATGGGACTTAAAGCCAGAGGAATCCACAGGTCCACTTTGTACTAGTAGTACTGCAGGGGCAGCCTAGGGCATTGGTAAATACAGGAATGTAGAGATATAGACAGAGATAGGGGAGAGAATTTGGAAGGGAAATGGAAAGGGCTCAGTATAATTTCTTAAGAGTTATGAAGATGAGATCGTATGATATAGCTATAATAAGGATGGGGATTCGGTTGGAGAGATACTTCTTACCTAGAGACGTAGAAACACAAACTCCATGTGTTAATATTAGTAACAGACTCGCACATTACAATCAAATCCAGAAAAAATATATATCTTATCTCATTATATGTAGGCTTGACATGATCACAGCAATAACAACATTTATTTAGCATTTTCCACATCACTTTGAACAGATAGCAAGTGTACTATATGTCAATACTAAGGGCCCTGAACGTGTTATTACAGTGGGTATTGGAGCAAGAAGAATGGTTAGGGTCCTGTCCTGGGAAATGTGAGATTTTATTTAACATGAATGTCACAGGTCATACCCATAGACCATGTCAAATGTTATATTATTTAATCATCTGCAATAAACATACCCTAAATATGAATTATACATACTTCTATTTTTCTGATTCATTTGATTGTGTTTTACTGCAATGTTTCTAATGTGTTTGTAGTGATAAGTAATTTATAAGGTAAACAAACATCAGTTCTGCTTTTACACAGAACGATTATTTCTGGAAAACCACTCTAGAAAATTGGAAAATGTCACTGTTTATATAACAGTATCATGAAAAGTAACGTATTATTTTATTGCGTGGAAATAGCCTCCCTCAAGAATCACTTAGCCAACCCTTTTCCTGCCCCGATTGTCCTGCAGCGCAGGATTAAATCTCTACAAAGCTGTGTTTTCGTAACAGCACACACTCATTGTGGGACTGAAGAAAAAAAAAAATCCACTGTCTCTTTAAAGCGCGCTCTCGACCCCCCAGCGCGCTCCCGTGCCTATATCTGGAGTGCATGGAGATGCCTAAGGCTCAGAGAGAGGAGGATTGAGGTGAAGGGAGTCTCAGGAACATTTTGCATTGAGAGTATTGCTGGAGCTTCTCTTCCTTGCTGATTGCTGGATTCCCCCTATGGATCTGACTGCCTACTTGTGACTTGGATAGTTTATTTTGTTCTTTTATTATTTTGTATTTTAATTTTCCAATATTTATTTCCTCTGGGATCCTGCCCTGAAGTCTGCACACATGTTAGTCCACGCATACTCTGCCATGGTAAGATGGGCTGGGATGACACCCCTGTTATTAGAACCAGGCAGCATTCCATTATTTTGGAAATATTACACCTTGGTGGTGTTATGGCAGATGGAAAGTCTCAATGCTCCTAATTGGTGTTTAGTGATACTTTAATTTTCCTATAGAGGATTGAGAGGCTCCAAGTAGAGGGGGTCACAACATGGAATACAGGCATGGTTATTCTGGGGGGAGTTGATGTGGCCCTTGGGTATATGGCTGGAGGGCTGTGTATAATAGGTGTATGTGACTGTGTATGCACAGAGAGTTCTCTGGAAACTCGAGGAAGGATCCAAGAGATTCAATAAAGAACCAAGACTGTAGCCCTGTAGATCCAGCTGCTATGTGTTCATACTGGGGGATGTAGTGTGTATGTTTCGTGTCCTGTAAGTAACAATTAGATATGTACTGTGCACTATGTATCTGTGTATTTTCTATGTACTATTGATAGTGCACATTCAGAGGATGTGTATACCATGCTTGTGATTAGAGTGTCTGCTCAGTGGGTAAGAGCTGTAGCGAACAGTCAGCAAGAGCTGGGGTGTATATCATGTTAGTGTTTAGAGTGTAAGCTCAGTGGCTCAGGCAGCTAACAGCCAGAAAGAGCTGGGGTGTATATCATGTCAGTGTTTAGAGTGTCAGCTCAGTGGGTCAGGGTAAGAGTTGTAGCTAACAGACAGTGCTGTCTCTTGTTCCAGGAGCGCTCGGATGCCCTGAATGGATCTACCGGTGGTAGCCGCCTGTCCCAGCTCTCCTCCCTAAACCAGGGGGCATACAGCTCAGCTCCCCCGCTCTGCCACACCCCGGCATCGGACTTCCAGCCCCCATATTTTCCCCCACCGTACCCTCAACCACCCCTCTCCTACTCGCAGAGCCAGGAGTCCGGATACCCCCACCTGGCAGACCCCTACAGCAGCATCAACCCCCTCCACCAGCACCACCACCACCAGCAGCAGCAGCAGGTCTGGCACAGCCAGAGGGGTCGGCAGGAGGAGGCAGGTCTGCTCTCACACAGGGGGCTGGGGCTGGACCCTCGCAGGGACTATGGAGGGATCCCCCGCCTGCTGCCCGGCCTGGGAGACGGAGGGCACAGCCTGGCAGAGAGTGCTCTGTCTCTCCATGGCCTGTCACATCACAGCATAGAGGACATGCAGGTAAGAGACACCATGCCACCTGGAGAACATCTATTTATTGGGGTCACCAGAAATGATTAATGGGGAGATTAATATGTAACAGAATGAATGATGCCCAGAGACCCCCTTAGAATAGTAAATACAATCACATAGCCATCAATCTGTTTCTTATCCCATTTAAAGCACAATATTGTCCTACTGCCTTTGCAAAAAAAATGCCAGTCCTCCATAACATTGACAAAAATCAACACAAAAATGTGCGTATTTGACATGAGAAAAGAATGAACAATATTGTCAGGAGCCATTCTGAGCGTGGACTTTGGAACTTTCTATAACAGTATTAAAATTGAATTATTCTGTTCATGCTAATACTACAGGAATTTGATATATGTATTAAATCATTGTATTAACACACATCAGATCCACGTCTGCTTCTTAAACTTAATTTATTGATCAGAGGAGCTTTCCTTTCAAGGTGAAAGGTGCTTTGTGATTTATTATGATTTAGCACGAGTAGAGTGTGATCAGTGTATGTTGTGTGTTTATGGCACACTGTCATTGGATTGAATGTTAGTGAACCTCTTGTTAGTCTGAACGCTTCAGGCACAGCTATTTAGAAGAGGTCAGCTAACACACAGCCATAAAATACGTATCATTTTAGGATTTGTTTACAGTTATTTTAAATGACCCATGAAACCAGGCTTAATATCCGCTAAGCAAGTGTTTTAACTCCCTCGACAATATCCATAATGCCTGATTAAAACGGTATTGGGAAAAAAATAATAATTAATAATAATAAAAAATAAAATAAAAAAAATATATAGATAGATATAATTTTTTAAGAGGACATTTAATTTAATTGCATTTAATTTTGAGACAGAAGTAGTGGCAAATTACAAATATATGTTATGACGAAATCTATTATGTTTCCAGTGACAAATATTTTGCATACGAAATATACATCTTCTGTGAATTATTCAGCCGATAAGACATTTAAAATTCTGGTGGTTATTATTTTACCCTTAAATATGTATTAATATTATATTAAAAAAAACAACTGCGAAAATTATAAAGGAAATCATTCTGATTATTATTCAGTCTACTTTGCTATCTATTAAGAATAAAGGGTATTTAGCGTGACTTATTTTACAGGAAATATTTTCGAGTTTTTCTAAAATAAAAGCTTTACATATTTTTTTATACAACAAAAAATGCGATAGAAAGCACAAAAAAAAGTGATCTTATACGACATGCATTGCAATTATAGTTTTTTTTATTAAATCCAAAAATATATTTAAAGTTTCCAAGTTCTGGGGCTTTTCACATTTTGCAGACAGTTTCTGTAGCTTTTCTCTCTTACAAAAAAAAAATATATATATAAATATTTTTTGCTACTGTTCAGCCACGTACAGCATAGTTTTTGTAAGTTCAGCATCCCATATTAAATCTAAATCCATCTTTATTATGTAAAGCATTTTATTTAAAAAGGATATCTATACAATCTGCATTACCGACATTTGATCACTCACCTTTCATTATTTAAAAAGGTTAATTTGTCAGAACTGTAGAAAAAAATTTTTTTTTAAATAATCTTATTGCAGAACTCTACTTAACGAAAAATCACACACTTAAACAAACTGATTTTTAAAATTATGATGACCGAGGTTTGTTAACTATATATTTACTTATTTCATTTTTAGAATGTTACTTTGTCCCTCTTCTGTCTTTCCATAATTGATCTTAGAAGCAATTTAACTCCTAAATTAATTTGTCCCAATGTCTACATTGTATAAGAAAGTGATTCATACATTTATCAGTGAATTGAAAACAGTATTTGCTGGATTTGAAGGAAACGTAGTCAAATACGTACTCAGCTAGTAATATATATCTTTTATATTGAATAATCTATTTGTATTCACTACCGTATAGATAACCATTATCACCATAAACACCCACGTCTGACATCCAGCGCCCAGACATTTCAAATTAGTCACACAAACATATATATATTAACTTTCTGTTTATAACATTCACTTGAAGTAATAATAAGTTTATTTTAGTTAATTAAATCGTAGTGTTTGTAATCCCACAAAATAGATCGGGATAAAGGTACTTATAGGAAGTTATGTAGAAGGCAAGTGTGGGGCAAAGGTTTAGAACTGGAGCAGTTACCATGGAAACGAATAAATGAGACCGGCTGAATATTGCTCCACTTTTAAAGCTGTACAACAGAATATCTTATAAATTATCTCACTGTACTAGACTGATCAAACATATACATATTTTTGTTTTTGTTTTTTTAATGTATTTATTTATCGGTTGCTTTAAAATAGCTTTTTTTTTCACAGGGGATTATATATAATTACATTTTATATTTTAAAATAAATATTTTAAGGATCCTTAGCTATAATCTACCTTGACACACGTCTGCTAATTATAATGTATGCAAGCCTTTTGCCTCTTTATTACAGTGCTTAATTTATGTATTTACTATAACTCTATTTTGTATGAGTGTCATTAAAACTTTTAGTTATCACTTATCTCCATCAGCAGTGCTTAGAGATATATAGTAACGATTTAAATGCTAAACCGATTGAAAAACGATGGGACTGTAATTGGTCAGTCTGTTTGTTGATCTAATATCTATATTATGTCATTAAAGACTTGCCAAAGCCTACACTCCTTTGAAGGTGCTAAGCATAGGTCTCAGAGGGTAATGTGATATATGGTCTACTTAATGACATTAGAAAGACACACACACACACACAAATGGGTGATTCATTTGCATTATAATAATCTTTATCATTTGGGCCATATTCACTAAGCAGCGAGTTGAAAGCCAACTTAATTTAATTTTTTTTCAACCGAGCTACTTTAGTGCATAGAGCCCAATGTTAAAATAATATTTTTTAAAAACCCTATTAATGCAAATAAATTAACAATAAAATGAATAAATAAAACTAATCAACAAAAATGTTGTAAACATTATGTATGCATCTGTGTTTTTTGTGTTTTTAAAGCAATGTAATTTAAACTTGTGGATGTTTTTGTAAAGTTATTAATTATTATTCATTAAACTACGATTTTTTTTCAACTGACTTGTCAGATGAAGGCTAAGGTAATCGAGCTGGTGTAATGTTTAGCAGAGGTTTACTTCTAAATCTGATGGGTTTGTGCTAAACAAATTGTCAGCTCGCCCTAAGTTGCTGTTTAGTGAAATTCCCCAACATGTTTTGCTTAATTCAATCTGTCACTTGCAGTTACTTTGTGTCCCCTTGTTATGCAGTGTTTGTGGTTGTGTTTTTCAGGCGGTGGATGAGTCTGGAGTTGGCATATTGGACCAGTCTGTGATAAAGAAAGGTAATAACGATTGATGCTTCTCATTTCCATGTAAACGTGTAACAACTGTATGACATAATTTTAAAAAATCACTGCTATATGACAAGTCCTTCTCCCAAGTCCTGTGCTGTCATTATATATCTCTATACCATCTCTGCTGGAAAGCTGATCCACAAATTACCCCTTGTCACCATCAGTTTTAAAGAGGCAGCATTGATAAAATCTGAATGGGTTCCTGTGTTTTGTACTAGTAAGTAAGGATTCTCTTAAATACATATTAAGATAAAGTTTAGGTGTTTATATTTTTCAAAATGTTTTTTAAAGACTACTTTATCATCTAATTATTATATATATTTTTTATGTTGAAAATTATTCTTCTATTTCACTTAACCCTGATACTGGTGTCACAGTGTTTATGGACATTTGTATTGGTGTTAAATCACAAAACTTTGAATTTATTTGCAAAATATAGCATATTACAGAACAATTGGAAAAGTCATTTTAAGACTTCCAATTCAGTTATATTGATGTAATAATTTACAAGTAAGTTTTCAATTCCCCATTTTTGTGAATAGTGAAACCCTTTGTGAATTCCCATTGTATATGACTGCAAACATTACATATACATCTGTATATGTACCTCTAATACATATATTAGAAAAGATGGACAATCCTGATTTAATTACTTTTACCAAGCAATTGAATTGATCATAATTATTTTCTGTAATTAAACAAAACATGATTACTATAAGTAGGACTGTAATTTAAACAATATATATATATATATATATATATATATATATATATATATATATATATATATATATATATATTACAAATGTCAGACTTTTATTCTCAGTTGGGTTAATTGTAAAGTAACAAAGCTGATCTGGACAGATATCCCTTGGTGCAATTTAACAATTGAGCCTCATATAAAGCAGTAAATAATTTGTAATAGCACTGCATTTCAGTAGCTATGGTTGTTGCAATTGATCACGCTAAAAAATTATAAACATTGCAATGTACAAAGAAGTCTATTTTACATTGGTACAATGTCAAGGGGAAAAAAATCTGCTATTGCTTAAGGGAATGTTGGCTGCACTCAGGGTTATTCAGAAAATTCAGAGTTTTAAAAAATTTAGGCCACAACAGCCAAATTGGAAAATGAAAAATAGATATTTTTAATCAGTTCAGTTATTTTGGCCTTAAAATGTTACATTTACTTTGAATTCCCCATAATTCACAATTTAATGAATAACCAAAATCTCACCTGAAGCCAGATTAATTGGTCAAGCTATGGATTTCAATTGATATATTCCTGACATTTTGTGTTGAACAAACGTCTACCAATAGACGTATTTCTTTAAAATAGCAAACAAAAATAATATCTTGGAGTCTGAAGAAATACACAACCCTGACACTTACCCCCATCCCTTACTCCACACACAGTATGGAGTAAGGGAGTATTAGAGAGTCAAAATATATGACTCAATGAATTAGCCCCAATTACTCATAGCCAATTGTAAGAGGTTTGGTTTAACATTACAAGTAAGTCGAGGGCCATTTGAATGTCCCTCTGTTTCCCCCCATTGTCTGGGCTGCGGTATGGGGGCTAGAACACAGAAAACCCTAAAACTAGGTAGTAAGCCTGCTTTCCATTTTCCTTAACCTTTTCGGCAATGTAAAAAGTCATTAGGTCTTTGGTCAGTGTGCCACATACTTGCCCAATCATAACCATCACAACCATCAACACTGGAGCATTTGCAGCGTTCTTTTTTTTTTTGCAAGAAGACCCACACGTTTACCATCTAAAGGTTATAATTAGGGGTGGAGGTTGGAGGTTGCAGGATGATTTTATAATATGAGAAAAATGGCATTACTGCATCATCAGGAAACTTCTGATTAAACTTTAATATTTTTTTCCATTAGAAAATGTTGCTTGTTCAATAAATGAAAAACATTTAATTCTACATGAAAAAAAATATTATTTTATATATTATATAATATATTATAAAAAGAGAAAACCAAGAATTCAGATAGATAGAAGTTGGAATAAATGACTAATAGTAAATGAAAATACGTATATAATATTTATTCATAGTATCAAATTTAGCTCCATATAATTGCACATTATATAATCGCTCCATATAATTGGACTTCAATTATAAACTGTATCATACATATTTGTTGTTTTTGCTTTGCTCAGATAGGAGTCTGAGCAGGATTAGAATATTGTGGTAATATAATGCTGAAAGTCTTTGTCCCATACCCTGTAATTTCTATATTAGAACCAAATCATGCACTAGTTTGCCCATATTAATGCATTATAGCATGGATCTGTGGTTTTAAGCAATACTAATGTTGTTGAGCTGGTCATTAAATTACAAGCTTGATAAAAACTGTCTTCTAGTTATAGCTGTCATTTCCGGTTTTAGGCCTGTTCTAGGTTTGTACTGTACAATCAAATGTGGAAATGATAAAAATGACTTTGCGTGACATATGTGGATATTGGGTGTGTCTCTCTTGATGATCCAAGATTTTGCCATTCTGCAAATTTACCGTGATTATGTATAAATCTTAACCCGTTCTTGTTAAGAAAGAAGGTCAGTGCTCCTTCTTAAGTGAGCAAGGCAGTACTGAAACAGTTAATTGAGTGTTGTTGTTTTTAAAAAATGTAAATATATCATCTAATTGGCAGTTAGTTGTGCAATATGAATGTTGTGTTTAGTATTGGTATAATTACTATTAAAGGTATAGTGCTTGAATGTTTAGGGTACTTTTATCAAACAAATCTATGAGGATGACCAATGATAAAGTATATAGAATGTACCCAGATTTGGTAATCCGATGGTAATTTCATTAACATCAGAACTGTTTGTGTCTCCAAGAAAATTATTTTAGAAGCCATGCCATCAAATGAACGTAAATCAAGGCTAGGTTCTAGGTTTTACCATTTACATCTGACATACAGAAAATGTGCTTTTCTCACTGCTAAATACTATAATCCACTTTCAAGTGTGAATTTCTCTTTCTGTATAGCACACCTACTCATCCCAGACACGTCAGCAGACCGCTGTTCCCATAGATTTCCTTATCATATAATATAAATAAAATAGTTAGGGATTCTTGATATGGGCATGGAAATGAGGTTCACAATAGTAATCGCCTTTACCTTGCTGAACAATTCTTTGTTTCCTCCCTTCCTCATTTATATAACATCATACTCTGTGAACAGATTATGGTGAGCTGAAATTCTTTATTTTATTGTGCACGAAAAATACAAAGAGGCAATCAGTGCCACAACAGCTATTGCCAGCTTTTAGATCAACATTTAAAGACATTCATTTGGCACATCAGAACATTGCACATTTTTTATTATATTGCAGATTCATCAAGAATTAGATGAACATGTCAGTTATAAAATAATTTAACATACTGACTTTTTGTAAGATTATAGGGTCACAAGTTTAATTAGGGCTTATCTTTATAAGGTAAATTATGTTCATCTAACGTTGCTTAATAGTGAGTGGATGTATATCCCTGGGCAGACATTACAAGAGTCCTGCTTCGTGGTACCCAACCAGTCCCATATTAGGTGGCTGTTTCCCTCTCCGGTCTTATTACTCCGTTGTGTGGTTGCAGGCAAGATTTGTACACCGGGCCCCCTTTTAGGATTCCACTGCTCGTGGTGAGCAGAGAACATCTGCGGGGTTGAGTGGTGTCAAAGGGTTCTTCTCTGAAGGAGCTGTGATCCATGTGGTCTGCGGGTTTCAGCTGGGCTGAGCTGTCTGTGTCGGGACACTTTATGAGGCCTCCACCTCCGCTTTCCCACTTGTCATGCTGCGTTAGGCGTAAGCCCGGACTGCAACGGTTTGTCTCCGTTCTGTGAGGGGCCAGCATGGAGCGAGGTCGCAACGACAGGTCTTGTCTGGCGCTGTTTGGTGTGTTCCCAGTATTGCTTCCAGAAGCGCTCGAAGGCCAGAGTAATGCGGTCACTGGAGTCTGGGTCGTGCTTGGCCTTGTTTCGATGGCTATCTAGGTTTGCACTGAGCGGGTTTCCAGCTCCGCGTGTACCCTCAGGTCAGGGTGTGGTGAGTGTGATTTCACCCCGCCGGTCCATAGTGGGAGGGGAAGGGGGGGAGGGAGCAAACTCGGGCCAAGCGGTTGATCCAAGAGCGTGGAGAGCGACCGCCTCTCCCCTCCCCAACCTCCCACAGGCCGCAACTGCGCCCCATCCCGGAGCTACTGACCGCCTCGCTGTGGCATTGTATGCTTTAAAGTAATTTTTGGCTGGAAGAGCCGGTAGTGTTAGGGTCTCAGGCCCGGAGCTTGGGAAGCATGAGACCAGTCGGCTCAGCAGTCAGGCTCCGCCCCCCACGGTGAATTGAAATTAACTAACTGAAGTAGATAAAACTAATCTCCAGTTCAGTTAGAGTACTAGTTTGGCCCACTGGCAGTAACTATCATCTCAACTAGGGCAAATACAGGGTTATTCACTAAAGTGAGAATTCAAAGTTACTTCAAAGTGAATTTCAAATTTAAGATTAAAATAGTTGAAATGGAAAAAAAAATTGTTTGGCTACTCTGGACTTAAATTTGAAATTCACTTTGAATTCTTACTTTACTTTATAAGCCTTACAATTTTTCAAGTCCTTACATATTAACAAGGTTTACCGTATATACTCGTCTACAAGTCTATCTTCGTGCAGTTTTTTGACCAACAATTGTGAAACATGCTATGACTCGTGAATAAGTCGAGGGTACATTATTCAAATGGAATTGTTCGGCTTCTGTTTGGTTACCGAACAGACTCTGTGTGGTTCCCCCTTGTTAACACCTCGTAATCACCGACCACCCCTGACTGTTAACAACAAACAAGCATGCCCTGGGTGGCCGCCATTGGTATATACGAATGCACGTGTTGTCTCCTGAACGCAGGCAGCGGTACATAGTCATTAACGGTATGAATCTCGGCTACGCAAGCCCGCGAACCCCGGTGAAACTTGTACCCCTGCCCGTTAGACTTCCCGACCAGCTAGGGGAACAGCGCTCGGGAGTTGACATTGCCCCGCATTCAACTCCCAAACGCTGTACAAAATTCTCGACTAATACACGAGTATATACAGTAGTTGTAAATAATTTCATCCAGACCTATCTATTCTAATACATGCAGTTTCTGCCCACATTAATTCTGAAGGGAAGAAGCCTGTGTGGATATAATGTTGGTGAACATACCAGCAATACCTTAAGTCAGTAATTTCCAACCCTGGCCTCAAGCACAGCTACAGCCCAGGATATAGGTATTTCTTAATTCTGTATCTCTGGGTATACTGATAGAAAGTGGATCATTGTAGTGTCTTTAGAGCTGGATTGGAAATCACTGGCTTAAACTATGCCTTAAAAAACATATAGTTATCAAGTAGCTAAACACTAGACACTTCCACAGTATTATGGTCATTAATAGTATCTGTTTAGTAAATCCCATAATACTTTGGAAGTCTTGGATTACTGGATGTGATGTGAGTTGTGATACAAAGTTCTACAACAGCAGCTACTTGATGACCTGATACTTTAGAGGTCTGTGGATGACTAGGCATTATGTGAGTTGTAATTCAAGTTCCACAAGAGCACAAGAGCTGTAGAACTACCTGATGATTGTCTCAGCCAAACCCAGCAAAAAGTTATTGACAGGACCTGAAATCCTAGACTTGGAAATGAAAATCAGTTTTTCACTCATGTCTATGGCACACAGTAAAATCTTAATGTGGGCAATTTACAAAGAAAAATACTAACATATATTAGCAATGGCAATCTCTCCTTCCCAAAGCAATCCATCAGTGGTACTCCTTCACAGCTGTCCCTCCCCCCCCTGCTGTGTGCTTACAGAGCTGGATTTTTGGGAATACTTTTCCAATCTGTACTGTCTGCTTCAATTTCCTGCCCAGCCTCATGATCAAACCTCCGGCCCCTAACAGAGTCCTGGATTTTCCTATTAAAACTAATTACTGGAGACCTGTCTCATATCCCTAAATCCTCCTTTTTGTTCCCCTACATTAACTGCCTCATAAACTGCTAACAATGTCAGAGCTAAAGACTTAGAGGATGGTTAAAAAAAAAAAGGAACGCAGTGAACTCCCCATCCATTCCTGGGACTCGAACAAGATGTTCTTTCGGGCGGTGAGGGAGTTAATATGAAAGCCATTAACTCTGGAATGGAATAGCAATCTTAATACAGTTTGTTATCAGATTTCCAAATAGAAACCATCCGTTTTGCTTCTTTGTTTTTTTTTTTTTTGACCTTGTTTTACGGCCCAGAATTGTAGAGGCTAAATGATAGAAAAATAGAAGTTTATTTTTATTTGGGGTAAAGAAATGGGTGTGGTGTCCCTGTGTTTCCGTTCTCCTGTGGTTTCTATCGCGTGTCTGCGGCATGTGCAACACATATGTAAAGATGACATATTAGACATTTCACATAACATAACAGTAATCAAATTAGTTCAGAACAGTGACATGGTAAAAAATCCTCAACTTAATTTTAAATCATTTTACAAAACAAGAGGCGTGGGAATTAACTCAAAACAGTCATGACATATGTGTACATATATTTACATATATATATAACCTATATAAACTTTCTTAATCATAGCCTGAAACTACCAATTGCTCTTGTTATCTATAGATTTGTAAATGGCTGGTATGCTATAAAGAGATTGTAATTAATCAATGTAACTTCACTTTTAGACATGTATATTACAGCTGTTGAACCAAAACAATGTGAAAAACCCAACTTTAAGAGATTTCCTATTTATTTCCTATTTTGAAAAACTCCTTGATTCCAAACTGTCAAAATTCCTCCTTGATTCAACGAGCTGTTACCTACATGAACTATTATATCCTTGGATGTTCTTTGGCATTGTTTATAAATCTGTACATAATGAGATAAAATAACACGTCTTATTCTGAAAACATTTACAAACATCAGGGTTATTCACTAACAGGGCTACTCAGTAAATTCTGAATTCTAGCAAACTAAATTTGAATGGCAAAATAGCCAAGCTATGTGTGACCATAGCTGATTGGGGAAGTCATCTATTTTAACCCCAACTTTGCCATTCTGATTTAATTCCAAAAACGTTCAGAGTTTTGTAAATTGCTGCATATTTAAAGTAAATTCACTTTATTGAATTTCAAATATCAATTTTTCGGACAAAACAAAGTGAATTTGGAGAATTTTTCCAATTTGGCTATTTTGTTCTCAAATTCACTAAGAATTCTCTCAATTCATACTTCCGTGTATAATCATGCATTCAGAGGCAGATGCAGCGGTGCACCAGGGCAAGTGCCCCCCCCCAAGATAGCGCCAGCAAGTACCTAGAAAATATATAAAAATACTTATATTTTCCTCCCCCTACATTGCTACTGTAGTTCCGGCCAAGCAGCATTGAAATAACAGTAGAGGAGCTTCACTGGGAAGTGCTAAAAGAGCAGTGTTATAACATCGCATTCCTGCCCTTTCCACACAGCAATCAGTGCCTCAGTGCAGAGTCCTGAGAGGGTGCGATAACTCTCAATACTGTCATTTCAATGCCACTCAGCCACATTACTAAAACAAGGTAGAGGGAGGGAAGCGGCTGGCGCTTTCTCAGGGTCAGTGTCTGCTTTTTTTACAACTGCCTTTGTCAAATTTGAGTCCCGGATTTGCCCCTGCTTGCATGAGTTGACAACGTATTACAAAAATTTAATGATTGTGGATTTATGGTATATATATTGTGACCAACAAGTAGATTCCATTATGTTACATCACAACAAATTCTATGATGCTTTGCGATATTTAAGACTGACAAAGGGTGGGGGGCGGGGCCTGACCGGGGAGCTGAGCAGACATGCTTTCTGTGAGCTCCCGAGCCTGGGCCAGATTTTCGGCGGATAACGGAGAAAAACTCACCCAAACTGGTCCTTTAGCCCACCACACCTGGCACTGTGAAAGCGTGGGTACAAGAGGACACCTCACAGACCTGCAAACCCGCTGGGAGTCTGGGCCGGGAACTCGGGGCCTACAACGCATGGTGGTGGGGAGAGGCGGCCGCTCTCCCGACCCGCCTAACCAAGCAACCCCCGAAGCATCGGGCCTCCCTACCCCCCCAGGATCAGAGGGGGTTATCCTGGTCCAGAAAAGCATGTACCGTAAGCCTCCATTGCTTGCAATGGATGACGATAACCAACAGCACGAAACACACAGTCAAGCAGACGCTCATAAAATGGCGACCTCAGGCCAAACTGCAGAGCATGCTCCCACCCAGCCTATACACGAGCGCCTTGATGCACTGTTCAGCCGGTTCTGGGAGAAGCTGGAAAGTCGGATGACACGTCAAACTCCTACATACCGAGAGGAGGTGAGGCTGTCCCAAGCTGTAAGGCAGAGCGGGCAGACCCCGGGAGAAGCCGCCGCACACAGACAGGCGGAACACCCATCCCGGCAGGGGAACGTTAGGAGACTCCCTCCTATTCACCGACCACACCGCAGGAGAGCCACCCGCCGCTGGCGGCGGATAACCATCAGGGCCCTCCATATCGCCCATCATGGGAAAGACCAGGCCCCGAGAGGCAACCGAGTCTGTGGCCACATGGTGCCAACCCCACAGGATGCCGGGAATAAAGGAGAAGCCCCCAGCCGCAACCACCTCCTCTCCTCGTTGACTCACTTGAAATCGCTGCCGGAACCCCCACCCAGACGGAACCCGAACGACCTACACTTACCCAGTCGCACAAGCAGAGCCACTAGAACGGGCATAAGGGGAGACAACCCGGACGCATGCAGGCCGCGGCCCGCAACCAACAACCCAGCCCGCAAAGAGAAACACACCAGAGGCTGAGATCTGCGGCCACCCCATCCCCGGACCACGGTCTGGCCACTTTTCAGGACTTACACTGTTGGACACTCTGTGTTACATCCACACCAGGTCATTTACCTAGATATGTTACTCTAGACACACTCAAATAGCAAACACTCACTAGAAAGTTATTGAAAGCTTATTGGAACACGCTATACAAACGGCTTACTACTATCATAGCATAACATGTCTCATATGTGATAACACAGATTATGTACACCCTAATAACACAGGACAGTAAGCCACCAGTCAGATTGTACACACTGCAAAGGATTTATTGCATCTTAGCCCTGCAATCACTACTAGTCCTGGGAACAATTCTGTTGGACCTGTTTAATTTTCGCTTGATTTTACTTAGTTTTTACAAGCCAGTCTTAGCTTGTCTTGTTCAGCCTGCATGTACTTAAATCATAAAATACACTTGAAATGTCACACTCGTCATATAGCATTTTAGGTTAGCATGTTTACAATACACTACGGTTAAGCGACTTACAAAATATAAAAAATGAGGCATTAATAATCGGGAAATGTAATCAATAAGGTTTTTGCTGTATTTACCCTATTTTGTGGACTACCCATGCATCTCCCCTGTCTCTATTCTGTACCCTTCATATATGCCTTAATAAAATAAAGATTGACAAAAAAAGACTGACAAAGGGTCTCTCTTTAGCCACCACTGTTGTTTGAAGTTTACCCTTTCATACAATTTTGTTTATAGTCATCCTGATTTAATGACTTTCATAATTCTACCTATTTGTATGATGAGCAGTAATTTTAGGTTAATTACAATACATGCTTAATATTTGATGAAAACACTACAATCAACCAGACCACTGAATCTCTTGTTTACAATGCAGAGTTGAGTCCACCTCTAGCTAAATACATCTCTGTTGGCTGTCTTCCCGATAGTCAATAGAGGTGTTTCTGCAGCATTTATTGAGCAAAACTTGGCCTGGGAATCAAATGCTGCTATGAGGAGGAACACGACATTTGGTTGGTTAGTCTATTGCTTCTCTGTGAGAAACAATGAATTGGAGGAGATCGGGAAGACATTAGCATATATTCTGATGTTTTCAAGGACGGACTGGGCGTCTGTAGAAGAGGAGTCTTGGCGCTGGAAAAGAGGTGAGTAATATTTATTGGACTTTAATTTTTAAACTCAAAGGGGCTGGATAAAAGGCCACCTATAGTCCCGAAAGAACAACTGTTATTTTCGTGGACTAAAAGTTCCTTTTACGCATACTTGTAAGATTGGTCTGCAACTAGCGGCACACCTGTTATTTTTACATATACTTGAAGATTCACTAAAGAATAGTGATAAAGACTGAGAATTGTTAGGAATTCAAAATGAATTTAAAGCTAAAATAGCCCAAACTTGAAAGATTCTGGTTTGACTTCTTTATCCTTAAATTTGAAAATCATTTTGAATTCCCACTAATTCTCACTATAGTGAATAATCCTGATATTATTAAGGCCTGATTCTTTTATTACCGATCCTTAAATCTCAATGGCCCAAACAACATTTTCTTGCCAACTGATTTTCCTTTAAAGATTAGTGATATATGGATCAAGTGATACATTTGTAACACACTTGTGATCATTAATCTATATTGCGCATATATATAGACCAAAGAGGAGTTTAAATTATGTCTTTGAGAGAATTACCCATGAATCCAAAGTCACAGAGAGACTAACATAGGGATTAATATAGAAAGAGAACTTCAAATGGGGATGTGTGTATTTTGCAATTCAAGGCAAGAAAGCCATTTAAGTAGCGGAGCCAGATGAAAGAGGTATTCTGCAAGCTGTCTGCTTGTATATGTTTGTATAAGCTTCCTTTATAAAGTGTTTAATTGGTTTATGGATCTGGAAACAATTATCAGAAGCAGAGAATCAGTTTTCTTTTTTTTTTTAGAAGGGGGCAATCACATTCTCACTGCAACGTTGCTTTGTGTTTTACAAATATATTACAAGTTAATATAGATGAACGTGCTCTAACTCATGTTTGGTATCCGCTAATAAGAAAAAAGTTTGGATATTACTACTTTATAACATATGTACCTTGTATTAAAACAATTTGCTGCAACATGATTGGAGGAAAACCCTTACTACTATGCCAGTCAGCGTATTACTGGTTACTTAGAATCACTATATGGTTCTTTTGGGATTGTTCTTCAATTACTTAGGTACATTCACTAATATAAATGTGAATTTCTGAACATAAAGTAATTGCCATTCCAACAGATGGAATAATAAGGCAAAATCAATTAGTTTCCACAATAATTGCCCCACTTTTAGAATTGTGTCCAATCTTTTTTATTTTTTTTTTAGAGAGATTTACAAATATTTGTAATGTACTCTCAGCAGGGTACCAAAAGACACCTGTTATAGCAATGCAAAAAGTTTTTTAATGGCAAAGTTTTACATTGTAATCAATAAGATCACGCTTTCAGGATTTAGTTTAACAACAGAGAATTTGAAACTGTGTTGAAGAATATGAGGCATTAATAAAATTTGAATTATGGAGAATTAGCAGGGAAACTGCACACTTTAAGTCATAACAGCAGAGTTGGAAAACATTGGCAATTTTGTTATTTTTGCCAAAAATCAGCAATTCTATTTCCACAAACTCATCAGAGTTACGATCTCTGAATGTTACAATTATTATTTTTGAAAAATGAAATATAAAATGTGTAGTTTAAGAACACTGATATTCATAATAGTCTGTGCCAACATTCGAAAAAAAAAAAAATACCTATAGTTTCATTACTCTATCATCCCACAAACTCAACTTTTATCTTTAAAAAACAGTCAGAAGATACATGTTACATATTACATATGTTTATTTTTGTGTCTACTCTTAAAGGACCACTATAGTGCCAGGAAAACATACTCGTTTTCCTGGCACTATAGTGCCCTGAGGGTGCCCCCACCCTCAGGGTCCCCCTCCCGCCGGGCTCTGGGGAGAGGAAAGGGGTTAAAACTTACCTTTCTCCAGCACCGGGCGGGGAGCTCTCCGCCTCCGATCCTCCTCCTCTCCTCCCTTTCGCCTGAATGCGCACGCGCGGCAAGAGCTGTGCGTGCATTCAGCCGGTCTCATAGGAAAGCATTTACAATGCTTTCCTATGGACGCTTGCGTGTTCTCACTGTGATTTTCACAGTGAGAATCACGCAAGCGCCTCTAGTGGCTGTCAGTGAGACAGCCACTAGAGGATTTGAGGGCTGGATTAACCCATTTATAAACATAGCAGTCCTTTAATCTGATGTCTCCTGGTGATCTTTTATTATACCTGTAAAAAAAAAAAGCAGACAGCAATCTCCAGATCTAATGGCAAAATTTAGGGTCAACTGATTTTGTTGATAAATATCTGAAATATCATAATTTGTATGGAATAAGGACACAGACTTAGTGAATATATCCTTAAGCCGCTCTAGAGGTTTTTACTTTTTAGAAAGTACCAACATATTCTACTGCGCTGTACAACAGGCGGAAAACAAAGAAGTAGTTGCAACAAGACAAGAAGGTGTTTAGAGCCCTGCTTAAATTAGCGTATTTTCTAAAAATTGTTCACTAAACAGCAAAGTGTGGTGATTTGAAAGCCAGATCTTTTCATCTTGCCTATTTTGACTCATCATGCCGTGATTTAGTTTACTCATTTGATGTCAGATTAGATTGCGTCACTCATAAGTCATTCTGAGTACAATCTTGAATACATTAATAATTCTCAGCCCACACACATGTGCCAGACCTAACAATGTCTGTAGCTGTGTATATCATTGCAGTTCAAAGAAGGAAGGTCGGGTATGGGGTATCTGAATCTTTTTCAAGCTCCCTCTTGAAGCGCAGTGTTTAGGAATCATAATCATTGAACAAATCTTATAGAGATTGCAAGCTCTTTCGATGTATAACACAGCAGGTCTTTTCTGGCTCTCACTGTGGATGGCGTGAGAAATCTCATTCTCCCTGCATTGTATCAGAGGTTCATAATTTGATGCAGTGGTTGAATGTGCCCCCAGTGGCTCTTGTTAGTTGGCGCTCCTCCCCTGACAGATGTAGCAGTGGAAATGATGAGGTGGAGAGCAGATTTTTTTTCTCTCACATTACACCAACTCTTGGGACTAAAGAGTATCAATTAAAACAGCACCTGATGTAGAATGTAAACCTCCCCTTCCCGTCCGCAGGCCACTGCAATGTGCGTGCTGCACCACAAATCCAGAGAAGGCAAGTGACAAGGTGATATGGCAAGCTCTTTAGTTCCATAGTAATCAGTAGGAGTTACGTGCTCAGAAAACATTGAGAGCAAAATTATTAGTGATACAAGTAACAGCAACAGTCCTTTGGTTTCCATGGTGATTGCTCCACATTTCAAACATTATCTTGCAATTGCTATTTAAGAAGAAATAATCCCCAGCAATTATACAGTGCTGCAGAATTATTTGGTGCATGACAAATAGTAAATAGGTCTTTAATGCAGATAGCATTGCAATCCCATAATTTGTAATCTGGTATTAAAGATTTTTTTTCTGGTTTTAATTCAATTATATCAGGAGATGGTTAGTGAAGAATAGGTATTTCGTAGTTGAATTTTACTACAAAGAATCCCGGTAGACCTCCTTACCAGTCAGTGTCCTCGGGCAAGACGCTTAATGATATATATCCACCTATCTCAAATCCTCATAGATTGTAAACTCATTTGAGTAGGGCATTGTTTAGCTCCAATATGCCCTTTCTATAATTGGCACTGCAGAATATGTTGGCACTAGTTAAGTAATAATAATACATCATAATTTACTGCCTTTACATTTAGTATTCTGATATTTGTTATACAGTTTGGAAAATTAAAGGAAAACTATGGTGATTTATTTTGTTTGATAAACTATTCACACGACAAAATAAATGCAATATAAGCAGCAATATAAACAAAACATTTTGTTAATCCCTCAAGAGCTCAGGTAATTGTTTAACTTCATAACCAAAAAAAAAATAAAAAATGAAATTGTGTTTGATATGTGCATTTTCAAATGTAATTGTTCTCTTTCATACTAAATGCAGTCACACATTTTATATAACATTTTAAAAATACAAATTTCAATCATTTAATTAGAAACAGGCTGCAACAACAATGATGACTTTTTTTTTTTTTTTACATATAATGTTTTAACAAATAGAGCTTTCTTTTGATATCCATTCAATGCAAACATAGAATTAACTGTTTAGTACAGGTGTGGGGAACCTTCGGCCCTTCAAATGTTGTGGACTATATCTCCCTTGATGCTTTGCTAGCATTGTGGCTTCAAGAGCATTATGGGAGATGTAGTCCAAAACATCTGGAGGGCCAAAGGTTCCCCACCCTTGGTTTAGTATGATTAAAATATTAAAAAGGTGCATTTTGAGTATAACTAGTACAATTCTTCAGAATATGTTAATTTATTTGTCATGATTTTTAAATACCTCCCACTTGCCTAGGTTTTTCATTTATACAAATACCTTGTTTTTTTTTGTTTTTTTGTGACATGTCTTACGAATATATAAAATATATAATCTTTTTTTTCTGTGAATATTTTGCTTCCTAGGTGAAAGAATTTGGAATATACATTACTTAATTATCTATTAATTCAAATAATTTGTTGACTCTTTTTGTTTTACAACCTTATATATTTCTTTTTTTACATTCATTAACTCACTGATATTAGCTGGGGACACTGATGATGACATCATCAAGATGTACCTGAGTCCTGCACAGTTTAAGAGCTAAGTATCAGTCAGAGAAACACACCCTTTTCCCCTTATATTGTTTGGTTAAACTCTAGCAGAGATCTGCAACTTCTCTTTGTATGTCTGATTGCACACACTGTTATTAGGCATTGGTCTCAGTGCCCGGCACACGTGGGGTTACTGGGAGACCCTCTGGTCCCCTGATAGCCCTCACATTTTTTATTTGGACCTGATGTTTGGCTCATCAAGCTAGTCATCACTGGCCAATAAATTTAGTCTCTGCTGACACAGGAGTGTCTCAAGGATTGATTGATCCAAAAGTGAACAGCCAGAGGCTGCACGGCATAGGGTGAATACTCAGATAGGTTTATTGTGGAATGAAGGACAAAACAGAGATACAACGTTTCGGCAGTGAGGCCTTAATCATAAGTAAAGCCTTATGGCCGACACTTTGTATTCCTGTTTTATTCCACAATAAATCTGAGTGTTCACCCTATGCTGTGCAGCCTTTGGCTCTTCACCTTTGGATGCATTTTGGGGGACTTCTACCACAGGGCTCCGGTGCTACTATATACCAGTGTGCAACACTTTACTACTTGTAAGGACTGATTGATAACTTTTTGGTGTGTGGAGAGAATTGCATACTGTAGTGTGAAAGCAGCTGTTATAAAAAGTTTTATTACTTACACAAATCACAAAAAGAAAAGACTCACTAAATAGCGCTTTTGCATGACTTTTTTAGTCACAGTACTTCTGTCATTGACTAACAATATACACAAACCTGTTCTTTTGTCCTTATTTCATATGCCATAGATCCAAATGATATTTCAAACTGATTATAACAGCAATTTTCCATTACACCCAAATACTTTATTTTGTTCTCTCCTTTCAAGTGCCTGGAATTGCAAAAGTTAAGGGATTATTCTATATTTAAAAATGATTTAGTAAGTCAAACTGTAACATGTTTGGTAAATTAATCAGGTATTTGCAAACAAAATTCAGGCATTGAAAGATACGTTTCTGGACTAAAAGTATAATTGGTCACCCAGTCATACTTTTCTCAGATATGGGAATGTACCATAATCTGTCGCTGTTAGATTACTCTACTCTTCATAAAAAACATTTATCATTGTGGTAGAAACAGTATAGTTTGGTAGTGATACCAGTGCTGTTGCTTTATAGCATATATCAATGAAAAGAGTCAAATGTTTCAATTATTATAAGTTATACCTGGAGTAATAGGGCTTAATATTTCTTTTGAAAGACAGTATAGTAACAAACCAATATAGCAGAATTCTGTCACAAAATCAAAATGTAAAGAGGTAAATGAAAGAACCCAAAGGGACTGGAACATAAATGGCTGTCAAATTCATATTATGAACACGTCTGCTTCTAGGAATATGTTATTACATGTTATCTGCTGGTTAGAGGCCCGCGGTGAATAGATCACAGACCCTATAATTGTCAGACATAATTAAGTCACAGGCTTACCCATTCACATATTGTTCTTGCATCATATCCACTCACCTATCTGCTGGAGACTGCTCATTCGTTAAACAGACATAAGACATAACACCTTGTTTAATGTAATGTGTCACGCCACAGAATGTTATTGTCTGTGAAACAGAAACACTAACAGAAAGGAATGAAATATATATTTTTACATGATGGGACAAAAAAATAAGTAAAATCCATTAAAAGAAAATAGTTATAAAATGACCCGTTTAGCTTTTATATCAGTGGATAATGATCTTGGGCAAAGAGTTGATCATTATAGCGATTATTAAATCTGATTAGATCTGATTTGATCATTATAGCGATTATTAAATGTAAACAGTAATAATCTATCACACCAAAGATATATTGTAGATAGTTTTTTTTTAGTTAAATGTGTTTATGAAACACCAACACTACGCTCTGCTTTATTAATAACCCTATTTCATTTTGTATAATGAAGGCAAGTTCCTAAGTCAGCTGTGTTTTCAGTTAAGGTATTTTGGGCTACAATTTGAAAATCAGTTTGAATTTTTGAGAATTAAACCACCCTGCAAATCTCTTCTGACTTTATACCCCACTTTCTGTAATCTTATTTGAACAATGTTATTCAATTGCTTTTTTTCTGTTCACCTTAAAGTAACACTAGTTGCAGCACTGACATTCTGCATCTCCAAGCTCTAAACATTCTCCATAGAGATGTATTAAGTAAATACATCTCTATGAGGAGATGCTGATTGGCACAGGGTGGCATTTTCCTGCGCATGCGCATATAGCCTCCCAACGCTTTCTTATGGTAATGTATTGGATTGGCTGAGATCATCAAATTTGATGATCTCTGTCAAGGGGGAGAAGCGTGGATGGAGCAGGCTGTGACAGACCTGCGCCGCGCTGGAAAAAGGTGAGTAAACTCACCTTTTTAACCGGATGTAAGTGGGGCCAGAACCTAAACTGCTATTTTAGAATTATAAAGTCAGGAATACACATTCCAAGACAAAACTGTATTCCTAACGCTACAGTGCCCCTTCCCTACTCCTTTCTAGGTCCCAACCAGATAGCAATTGAAATTTAATAAATAAAAGATTTACTTACCTGTTTCCAGCACTGAAGCTCTCTTGGTGCTGGTTAGCTCACTTCTTGAAGCGACGTCACATGCCTCCTCCATGATGGTCCAATCCAATGCTCCTCACATGTATTCAATATTGCCCATATATTGTATATATTCAATCAATACTTTCTTTGGGGGGTTCCGCATCATGTGATAGAGTTTTACTCTGTCAATGTAGAGGAGGTGATTCTAGTGGCTGTCAGTTTCATAGCCACTAGAGGTGGACTTGACCCAGCAATGTAAACAATGCAGTTTCTCAAAAACCATAATGTTTTACATTGCAGGGTTAAGAGGACAGGGACACTGCAGCTGGACCAATTCATTGATATATAGTGTTAACGTTTGTTTTGTTTTATATATAAAAAGTGGTTGTTGCTCTATAAACAATAGTAATAAAAGTAATATGGGTGTTTATTTTTCAAAAGCTTTGGACTGCTCTCCCAAACTACTGATGTAAGAGACTGCTGGTGTTTTAAACTGTGGGGCAGGGTAACTGATTTTTTGATTGAACGATTTATCTACCTTTACAGCTTGAACAGGCAGATTTCTATATACAATGTATTGTACAGTATAAAACACATTAAGATCTCATTAGCATTTTGAAAAAATATTTTTTTCTTTAAGTAAAACCCATACTTTGTCCAAGAGTTAGTGAAGTCAAAGCTGCAGCACAGATATAAACTTATTTACTTTAACAAAGTACATATTAGCACATATTTTGCTGCTAAGTATTTTAATGGTCACTAATGTAAGGCGCAGTACATGAGTTATTACTGTAAGCAGGGATATTCGAGGAACGCTAGCAGGCAGGGCAAAGGTCAATCCTCAAGTCTGGCCAAGTATCATGGGTGTTGTAGTCCTGCAACAGCTGTCAATGTACCTTTTGGCAGCCTTTCTGACAGAATATCAGGGAAAACATCTTCCCTTTTTCACAATGCTGGATTAAAATCAAAACATTAGTTCCATCTATGTGTGTAACACTCCCAACCCAAACTGGTGAAAGAGACAAAGTAATGGGGTAAAACATGTATTATTGGGATACATACAGGTCTCATAGCATTCCATGAGAAAACTGTGCAACTAGTCACATGAAGTCTCATTTATGCAATAAATGCTATTACCTTGTGCAAGTAGCTAATTTCATATTTTGTTGTATGAATGTAGCCATGCACGGGCAAACAGTCCTGTTCCTAACAACTAATACAAAAAAACACATGCTGAGAACATATCTTTTTAATCCCTCATGTGTGATTACTAACAACTTCAAGTTTAAGGTGCACTCTAGCCCACTTTAGTGGATATGATGCCAGCATTCCTTTTGCACCATTTTCTGGTTTTATGTCAAATCATTTGGTCCACTGGTTGACTAACAACATCCATTTTATCCAACTTTGAATGACATTCATTGCCTGAGCATGTCAGTGAACACCCTTGGGACTGTTGCTTTGTGTAAAATTGATTGAAAAAGCATACACAATCATTTTTTAAATTAATAAATTGTTTGCTATATAATTAGATTTTAATAGCTGTAAAAAACACAACCCTTAATATTATGTATTGTACAGTTATCTGTCTGCCTAAATCCGAATCCTCTTGTTAGGGTGAATGGCATGTACCTCTGCCCACAAATGATGATTCCATGATTACTTTTAATGTGCACTCCCATCCTACATTCCCTGTAGGTATAGAGAGGGTGGCTTATGCATTATTAAATAATCAGTGTCTCAAGTTAACATGTACAATACCAGGATAGTCCATTCAAAGCAGTGCAGAGGTGCCTGTTATTTTCATACTCTGAATAGAGAAAGCTCTGTAAAGATGGTGACACTGCCAGCACTGAGTTTACCCACACATTTTGTATAACCCTAGATAGGGGTTTAAATGGTTGAGAGGATCCTAAGAAAACGGTAACATTCCAGCTGACAATGGTCTAGCAAGCTGAGAGAGATGGGAGTAGTAATCCAAAATACATATTTACATGTGTACATTTAACAGACAAATTTGAATTTGTGCAATGGCATTTGTTCATGCCTGCTTCAGATTTCACACAGTTGTGTTTTGAGTGTGTATGGTATTGTTGGCCATAGTGTTGTAATTCATGTAGATCAGGGGTGTCTAAAAGGTAGATCCCCAGATGTTTTTTAAAACTACATCTTTCATGATGCTTTTTCATTCTAAAGGCATTCTAGATCCACGCAAAGCATCATGGGAGTTGTAGTCCTACAACATCTGGGGATCTAGCTATTGGACCCCCTGATGTAGATATTTTAATGTAGCTTGAGGGTAACACTTGAGATCGATTCTAGTAGGAGCTCTGTGAAAATTCATCAATTTAGAACTTGGCTGCACGTCTTGCAGGAATGGCCAGAAGTTAAGTTTCATAACCAGACACAGGGCTAGGTCTAGGCTAAATGGCCCAACGCCCGGCATGAAAATTGGACTTGGCACTCTTCCTTTTCCCTTCCTCAAGAAATATGAGTAACGCCATTATAAAGCATAATATGGCCTTTATCAGTACAAACTCGTTATCTTCATACAACACATCATGCTTACCATAGGATTAGATTATTATGTAAGCTAGTTTCATATGGTTGGTGGGGGTGGGAGTTTCACATCATATACTTATATATATGATGCAGATTTCATATACATAATAATTTAAACAGAACCATGATGCAAAACTAAGCCAGACACGGCACATTTAGAAACAGTGGTTTGTCATGAGTAAGGGGAGTTCAGTTTGATGATATTGCTTGTAAACAGAAGCTGTGCTTCAATGATCTGTCACCATGTGTCTCCTAAGGGACCTTTATTTGGCCTCTATAGAATTTCTCCTATAATTACAGACCTGCTTGGAAACTACCCAAAATCCCTGTGTGCAAATTGATACTAACTCTTACTGCCTGGATATGGGCACAATCTGCACTTAGTATCTCTACAGCCGATCCTTGATGCAATTCGAAGTAGTCAATTTCCACTGGTACATTATGTTTATGCAAATCTGTAATGCTAATTAAAATGAAGAATTTTAAGGTTCAAAATGTAATATTAATATATTCATATATATTCATACTTCAGAAACAAACATACAATCAGTAACACATTAGGACAGATTGCTTACAATTTTTTTAAATTGTGTAACTGACTGAAGTTACCCTGATTATAATCTAGAATCTTCTACTCCCATTCATGCAACAGCTTCTCCGCAGAGCTTCTAGGTGGTTTAACTAAATAAGATGCTACACTTGTTATGTTAAACATATGTTATGCGTGGTGCCGAAGTTTACCACTTCTGCTTTAGGCTATATTTACTTTTCCTTACAGTGTGCATTTTTTAGTATACTGATTTGCTATGTTTTCTTTGTCCTCAAATAGATGCGATATCTCTATTTTTCCCTTCTAGATAAGGTGTGGCCCAAAGGTAGATCTGTAGATGTTCTATAACTGCATTTGTCATGATGCCTTGCCTTACTAAATGCTGGTTAAACATCATAATATGTCTGTAAAAAACTTTTGAGGATCTATGGTCCCCCTCTCCCCGTGTGCTTTGGCTCTCTGGTTCTGGATTTTAACTGTTTCTGTTGGATCAATAGATTGCCCTCTAATTAACCTGGCCAATTTCACCCTATTTGCCAATTTGTGCCTGTCACAGTGCTTTACACCCACTGTTCTTTAAAAAAAAAAAAAAAGAATGAAAGAAATCCCCAGGCATTTGTGTAAATGCTGGCCCTTAACTTTGTGAAAGAGTAAATTCACCAAGCATTGTCCTTCACTGAGGGCCCGACATGTGGACATACTGTGGTAGAGACAAATATGGTTATTTCTTGATTACATCAGAAGTTCTTTAAGCGCAGGATGGTATAGAGGTTGCTCTTAGAAAGACATATTGGTGATTCATAAATTTATGAACATTGAGACATATCAAGAACACTTCTTGGCATGTATCTGGCTTAATTTGTACTTTAAAACATCATGATTATGAATGGCAAATTTCATACAACACGGATGACACCAGTTGTAGTGTTTATGTTGCCTAGACTGTCCCTTTACGGATAAGGAAGAAAAATTTGTGATAGCTGGGCTTTGTGGAGCACAATGCCAGCTCAGGTTCTTAAACGCCTGCATGGCTCATCTTTGGTTCAAAGTCAGTGAAGGAAATCTGCAGAGGTTTACCACGACCCTGTAATTTGTGGAGATTACATGCAAGTTCTGCCTGTATCTCTATTTTTAAATAGATTAACTTTGTTCTATGCTATACAAGTCTTATACAAGTTGAAAATACTACAACACGTCCCCAAAACATTCAGTAAGCTAAACATAAATTGTCTTCAAGTCAAATGTGTAACTGCTTAATCAGCTCCTAACCTCACTTATCCTTGTTGAATTGCTTTTACTAGAGTGACCATTTCCAGTAAAACCATAGCTGATTTGGGTCTGAAATACTAATTAATTTAGCATTCACTTATGCAACTGTGATACTTTTATTGACATGTGATGTTAACGATGACTCTCTCTCTTCTCTCCCTCATCACTCTCTTCTTTATATATTTCTTCTGTGTCCACCTACCTGCTTCGCCTGCTACTTTGTTAATTTCAACCACTCTAATATGAACTATTTTCTGATTTTTAAATTTCTTTCATCTTCATTCACCCACTACTCATCTTCTGTCTGTCATTTCCATCCGCCACTTACTTCTTCTTCAACTTCTTTGTTCTCTTTTCATCCCATTTGTTCCATATTCTTTCTTGCGTACTATTTGTTTAATTCTTTTTCTTTTCTCTCTCTTCCCATTGATTGTATCACATACTATGTACTCTATTCCTCTCTTTCCTTGCCACTCCTTTCTCTTGTCCTCTAGTTCCAATACCATCAAAGAATAACAGCAGCATGATGTCTTCTTTATCTATGAATAAAGAAAGTCTTATCGGTGGAGTGACCAATCCAAATGAGGTTTTCTGTTCTGTCCCCGGTCGATTGTCGCTTCTAAGTTCAACTTCCAAATACAAGGTGACGGTGGGAGAGGTTCAGAGGCGTCTGTCACCACCAGAGTGTCTCAATGCATCCCTGCTTGGAGGTGTTTTAAGGAGGTCAGTGGCTGGAGACAGCACTAGATTTTATTGCATTTCTCTATATGCTTCTTTAAAGATTTAATGGAATGGGGTGATCATACAATACATGAATTCGAATGGGCCATTGTTTTTGAAAATGCATATAAAAGAGTTGAATTACAAGCAATGACTTCCTGTGGGATTCAAGTTATAATTCAGTTTAACAGGATTGTTTGTGTTATGAAAGTGTTTTTGGATGTTATACACATATGCGACAGAGCAATCTGTTTTTAGCTCAGGATCAGCGTTTAAATGATGGTGATAGATGAGATATTCAGTGGTCAGAGGTAAATGATGGAGTCAACCAATGTCATTCTTCAAAAGATATGTCTCCTGCCTTCCTAAGCTATAGAAGTAAGGGGACAGTTCTAGGCATGAAAAACTATTCTTACAGCAAAAAGGTCCGAGTCACATGCTACCCACAAATATGAATGGGTGGTAAAGGTGAGAGGTACCTGCTTGAAATTCCCAGCTATGAATTGGGTGGTAAAGGTGAGAGGTACCTGCTTGAAAAGACCGGTTTAACTAAGGTACCAACTTTCAAAGTTCTGTAATCCCAGTCAAAACTGGTAAATTCTTTGCTCTAAACATTTTATCAGATTATCAACAAGCTATCACCCTACATATTATAACTCCCCTATTCTGTTTTGCAATAAACAAACAAAAATAAATAAATCTCTCTATCTACTTAATGACACAAAGCAACCTCTCAGGGCAGAGAATTCCACATCTTTACAATTATTACTGTAACTGGCCCTTTCCACTGCTGTCAAATTGCAGTATTTTAGTCTTAACACAAACCTTTCTCATGAAATAATAAACTCTTATGTGAACCGGATTTATATCAAAACTCATTGTGTGATTCTCCTCAGTTACTATAGCAACATTGCAAACAAAAACTAACAGTGATTCCTCCAAAGATGAAAACTTTAAAACTTTGGCCAAGTACAATTTCATTTTATGATAAACATGTCTCAATGACTAGAGCTGAGTCCTGTGTTTTGTATATTTTTTGCATTCTGATATTTAGACAAAAAAAAAGAATATTGCCTATTTGGATTGTTATTATTTAGATTTACAGCAGTTTTTCTCAGTTATATATATAATTAATATATGTCCTGGAAGCAAGTTTGTGTGTATATAGGGAGGGCATTGCTGTAACTGCTTACCTCTCCTCTACTCCCCCAAACTAAGTAATGGATAATAAATAAACATAATACAAGTGATAAAACCTATATACAATAGTGGAGCGCTTAAAATGTGAACATACAGTGCTGCTTATCCATGTATCATGGGTGGAAACAGGGATATACATGATGCCCTTGATACAAGGGTAAGCAACACTGCGTGTTCACACTTTAAGTTCTCCACTTATTACACACACACATATATAAATATATATATATAATAATCTTTATTTTCATGTTGACAATTTCCTTTTAACAGGCAAGTCCTTTCTATGGTCAGAGTATTGCTAAAACAGGGATATTTAAAAATATATATAGAATAATGTCTCTATGAAGTTAACACATCATCTAAACAGTTTTGCATGCAGCCATACACCACTGGCAGATCACCAGCTGTTGTTGAACGTCAACTCACATGTTATTTTTTCTGTGCTCATCAAAAGTCTGGTCAACATTGATTATATTTTCTGGGATAGACTAGCTGGCTTGAAGAATTATTTGAACAGAACGTTAAACGTTGGCATCACTGCCTTCGCTCAAGACATATATACAGTGATTTTCTCTCTTTTCATTTTCCGGAGACTTACAACTAGCCTAAGAAAAATGTCACTGGCTCACATTGCTCATAAATATAATCCTTGTTTCTTCCAGAGCAAAGTCAAAGAATGGTGGCCGCTGTCTTCGAGAGAGGTTGGAAAAGATAGGACTGAACTTGCCAGCAGGGAGGCGCAAGGCGGCCAATGTGACTTTATTGACATCACTAGTGGAAGGTGAGAGGCATTCAAGGTGAACATGACATATGTTTGTGCAATAAAGTGGTACTTCCCTGTCAAGCTGTATTGTAAGATGGGATATGGAGTCAAAACAGATCTATTGGAGTGTTCCGTGCTGAGCATTATAGGATAATGTGTGGCAGGCTTAATCTACAAGCCATTTCTTTGTGGCCCTCTTTCAAGAGCAGGATATGAAAACTGTTCTGTTTTTTTTCCTCCGGAGTCACTTAAACAACAGTGGTTTTTAGTACAAATAGAGAATGCTCTCCCCCTTCATTTGGCATTTATGCAAATGACGGTGCCTTGGGCTAATGTGCAGAACTGGTTTTAATCATGTGTTTCTCTTGCTTTGTGAGAAAGAAACAAAGAAAAATTGAGTAAATTGTACGCATAATAACAGAGATAAAATGGACCTGCAAAAATACATGTTATATCCTAACTATAAGTTAAACATGTTTATTGCCTTATTGTGTAGGACATTTCCTGCAGAGATAGATTAGTTTTAGATTGGTGGAGACAACTCAACTAATATCATGTAACCCTCCATCTTTGCCGAGTGAATTTTACACAAAAGTTACTCGACCAATATTTGTTTCTTAGGAATTTATAACGGAAACACAGCTCCCCTCTAATTGTCTTTGTATAGAAAAATACCTGTAACACACTTTCCTCCAGATGCATCACCTTGAAAAAAAATAACGTTATAAAGGGATACTATAGGCATTAAAACAACTTTAGCTTAAAGGACCACTATAGTGCCAGGAAAACATACTCGTTTTCCTGGCACTATAGTGCCCTGAGGGTGCCCCCACCCTCAGGGTCCCCCTCCCGCCCGGCTCTGGAAGGGGAAAGGGGTAAAAACTTACCTTTTTCCAGCGCTGGGCGGAGAGCTCTCCTCCTCCTCTCCGCCTCCGTTACGCCCCGCCGGCTGAATGCGCACGCGCGGCAAGAGCTGCGCGCGCATTCAGCCGGTCTCATAGGAAAGCATTTACAATGCTTTCCTATGGACGCTGGCGTGCTCTCACTGTGAAAAATCACAGTGAGAAGCACGCAAGCGCCTCTAGTGGCTGTCAATGAGACAGCCACTAGAGGATTAGGGGGAAGGCTTAACCCATTCATAATTATAGCAGTTTCTCTGAAACTGCTATAATTATGAAAAAATGGGTTAACCCTAGCTGGACCTGGCACCCAGACCACTTCATTAAGCTGAAGTGGTCTGAGTGCCTAGAGTGGTCCTTTAATGAAGCAGTTTTTGTGGATAGATTTCTCCCTTCGGTTTCACTGCTAATTGTCTGCCATTTAGACGTTAAATCATTTTTGTATCTGTCCATGCTACCCTAGCTACACCTACCCTCTGTGTTACTGACACAGCCTGCATGAAAAAATGGTTTCATTTTCAATCAGAAGTTAACTCACTTTAGAATTTTTTAACTCCTGCTCTCTTTACAGGAAGTGTTTTGGAAGGGTGAGTAAGTCACGTACAGGGAGGTGTGACTGGGGCTGCATAAACAAAGTAAATTAACTCCTAAATGGCAGGGAATTGAGCAGTGAGACTGCAGGGGCATGATCTATACACCAAAACCACTTCATTAAGCTAAAGTTTTTTTGAGCCTATAAGTGAATAAATAAAATAGCCATGAATAGAGGGGTAGATGGAATGTCAGTACTTGCAATTGTAGTATGTGGCTGCTGAAACTTCCCAAAAACCAGAGTCTCATCTTTTCTGGTGGTACGATGGATGTAGATAGTAGGATCAGCGCCTATGAAGGAATTCCCACACTCAGAGCGATATGGAGGAGGGAAGGAAAAAGACATGGATATAGTGTAGTATGTTGAGATCTTACAATTTTCTGGAGCCTATACTCAGCTCCAGATATGTGCACCTGGACGGTACAATCCCCGCCTATGGATATGTAGATGGTCCTTGGATGTCCTCAAAAGGGGGTCTCCAGTGGTAGTAGGGTATATCTCCTTTCCAATGGCATTAGGCCAGTATTCAGATAGTTGGTGATATATACAAAAAGGATAAAAACACAAAATAGTTCTCTCTGGATAAAACAAAATAAAATTATAAAAAATGGAGGTATACTCACAAGTGAAGAGCAAATAGGATATTGCTCAATATATGTAGACATAGGTGGTATAATCCCCACCAAGGATATCACTCCTCGAGTCCTTCAGTGGGGCTGTTGGAGAGTGGAAGGAATTATATTATTTAAAAAATAAAATAAAATAGAATAAAAGGATAGGCTTAGAGGCTCCAATAGCATAAATGGGCTATCTTTATTGGAGATAAAAAAAATCGGTAACATAAGACAGCTTTAAAAAACACTAACGCGTTTCTTTGCAGGAGAAACGCGTTAGTGTTTTTTAAAGCTGTTTAATGTTACTGATTTTTTTTATCTCCAATAAAGATAGCCCACATAAGATCTCAACATACTATACTATATCCGTGTCTTTTTCCTTCCCGCCTCCATATCGCTCTGAGCTTGGGAATCCCTTTATTGGCACTGCTCCCTGATCCTACTATCTACAAATAAAATAAACATGTTTGCCATAATGGTGTAACAAAGAAATGAGAAATAAGTGATATAGATTTTTTTTGTATTAATTGTATCTACTTTTACCTGTCTCTTTAATGTGTATTACTCAATCATATGATGTGTAAGGATAAAATCACCAATGGAGAGCAGCCATGACTGAGAGCAGCCATTACATTTTGTAATATGTTTTATAAGCTAGATCCCTAACAGGCCTGAAATATCTGATTTTAGCACTGTTTCATTGTAAGCCCAGAGACTCTATTTGCAGATTTTCCATTAATCCTTTCTACTGGTTCTCTCATTTATGTAATTACAAATTACATAATCCTTATACAAGATGCAGTAGACCAGAACTCCTCTAATTCTGTGCTAGCCATAGGCTTGCAGAGCATCATCGGAGTCATAGTTCATTAACATAGGCCTCAATGTAATATTTTTGGATTAGCATTTCAAATGATTTAATGTTTTTGAGTAAACCTTTAAAACAATATTTCAAAATATTAACATATAAAAAAAAGTCCATCATATATATAATTATATATTAATATAAAAAATAAAGTATTAAAATATTTTACAAATATTAAATAATTTAAAATACTATATTCAGAATGGTAGCACTCCAGGGACTTGTTATTAGGATAAAAATATAACTTTTATGTAACGCAAATAAAAACAGATGTTTCAGTTTAAGTATAACATTTTCATCGGAAGTATTTCCGTTAGAAAACAATCAGTCAGAATATATAAGAGTTAAATTTATAAAAAATTATTAAAAAGGTTAAAATAGCATAGTTTGTTAATTTATATGTAGATTTTGCAGTGATCTATAACTTTATATTTTAATAAAACACAATTAGGCCATCTTTTTTCATTAGTATACTTTACCATTTAGTGATATGCTGTGTTCAGTTCTTGGTTATGTAGTTGAAGAGGCGTGAAATTTGTGGCACAGATCTTCTGTGCTATGTATCCTGAGTCTGTGTTAGTGAGGTTACACGTCATTACATGTCTCAGTCTCTCCTAGACTGCACTGACACATGGTTGAGATATGTACCTCTCTTTTTTTGTTTGATAATTTTTTATTGTGATTTTCCACACAAAAGTGCAATCATATATGTTTTTTAGATACAGTATCATGTTCTCTGTGCAAATGATATAGTTTACATCTCACTGGCCTAGAAGTCATATATATATATATAACAAGTAACATAAGACCACAAGTGTTCCTGGATAGACATCAGAGCTCCCCAAACCCCCTCAAAGAAAATCCATTACTATTACTCACTACCATCTTCAGCTTTACCCTTAATAAAATGTTGCCATTTCTTAAGAATATTTCCCACACATTTGGCTCTAACACTTGTCCAGTTTAACCCCTTAAGGACACAACTTCTGGAATAACAAGGAATCATGGCGGAATATTTCCGTCATGTGTCCTTAAGGGGTTAAACCTTGTCCCATGTTGCATTGAAACAATATTTGTTCTCTTAATTACGGCCACTGAATCAGAGCTGGTGTACCCCAGTTTCTAGCTATTAATAACTTAGCGGCTACAAAAAAGTGAAATATCAAAAATGATAGTTTTTTATTTAATTGTGGCCATTTCAAATGTAATAGAACAATTTCAGGCTTATTACTTCTCTTTTTCGTGTATATGCCGAAGCTCCACACTAGTAGAGACTTAGGGTCTGTAGGTATTATATAATTTCTCTATCTCTGCTAGAAGGAATTTCAGTGGAGGCAGAATCCATGTTCTCTACACCCCTCTTATTGTCTAGGCTAGTAGAGACTGAAAGTGCATGGACATGCTATTATATGATGACAACCAAATGCCCACCGTTTATTTTACAGCATATCAAAATGTGTGTGCACAAGGGGCACAGATGGCTCTCTCCCTTCCACCGAACATGCAGGTGCAGTTGCAGATGTTGCAAAACCTCCTGGTTGCTTTCGATTTAGAGTCCAGTTTCAACTGCACCTTCTGTTATTTATAAAGATGTATCCTCTTTTCCATTATTATGAGGAAGAAAAGAAAAGCTTTAGACTTCAAATAACATTGAGTAATAAAATTGCTGTTTTTGTGAGTGAAGCTTGATCCCCATGTTTAAGTAATGATTTCTTTAGTTCCTAAAATGAGAGCATGTTTTGCTAAGAAATGTCTAATCTGGTGAGCAATTCAGAATCACAGTGTGAGGATAATCAAATTTAGCTTTTATTCAGCTTATACTGATAAAGTTGTTTTCATTTTCATATATTTTGTATTTTTGTTTTTTCTTAAGGTGAGGCAGTTCATCTCGCTCGTGATTTTGGCTATGTTTGTGAGACAGAGTTCCCAGCTAAAGCTGCAGCCGAATATCTCTGCCGTCAGCACCCCGACCCCACCGAGCTCCACACACGGAAAAACATGTTGCTTGCTACCAAGTAAGTTTGAGGGGCTTGACTTATGCAGTATATTTATTGGTAAAGGGAAACTCTAATCACCAAAACCACTAAATCTTAATGGAGTGGTTTTTGTACACAGATCTTGTCCCTGCAGTCTGACAAAATGGAAGCATTGTCATTTGTGAAAAACAGCAATGTTTACATTCACACTAAGGATACCTCTAGAGTTGGTCAATCAGACAGCTACTAGAGGCACGTTCTCTTGAATACGTGAAATATCTGAATGTCTTCAGATGTGGTGTTGCGATGCTTCTCATACAGAATCATTAAATTTAATATTTGAGTATGAGAAACATCCGATTGGCTGAGTGCAGTGATTGTTAAACATGCCCAGTAGTTTATTAAAGATGCTTAATGAGCATTATACTACAGGGCCGTTGAATGCTTGAATCTGATTGGTTGACGAATGTTCTAAGGTGTGCATTATTTTCAGGGAGACACATGGCTAAAGTAGTTCCAGACAGGTCTTGACTGCCTTACAGTTCCATATCACTTCGCGTAGTCAACTGTAATAACGGAAACCAGGTTACAATTCATAACATTATTGAATATACAGAAATAGATAGTCCTGCTGCACGGGTTTTCGTTACATCCTACTGTCAATAATAGAAAAATAAAATTAACAAATGAATTAAAACTAATGAATTAATAAATAAATTAAATATTGACGCAGATGCTTTTCTGTCTCATTATTGCAACCTCTCTCTGTCTCTCTAATAACTGCACTAATAACTGCATTAGTCTGCTATCAGTCGCTCAAATCTGTGTTACTAACTCTTAAATGACGTTTTGGAATTAGCAACGAAGGCATGGGAATTGATGCGTAAGAAATTAGTCCTACATACAAGAGCGTTTTAATGACAAAAACTTGACAAACGTCTTGAAATTCATCATCTGAACAATGTTTCGAGGTGTGGTAACTGTAGTATAAGCGGAATAATTGACTCCAGGCCGTTGCATTATTTTCTAATAATTCAACGGCCTGTCATCAATGATTCCTTACATATTGGATCGGACCTAAGATGAACGAATAGATTACCTCATCAAGCGAGTAGCAACTGCCTAACAGACAAACCTGCATTGAATTACTGGTGTTTTCAACCGTAATTTTTTGTTTGTTTTAAAATGGGGGACACGTGTGCAAGTATGGAACATTCTAATATTAATAATAAATATGCTTGCTTTTAATGTTATAGTGTCTTAAATTAGCCTTTAAGATGAAATAATCTGCCTTCATGTACTTTGAATCCTTCCTACAAGAATTGATTTGGCCCTAAAACATTCTCATGGTTTCTGAGGCAAATAATAATTGACACCACCAACCATTGCTTACACTGTATCAGACATAATTATTTAAATTTTTTAAACTGGACAGGTTAAATACTGTGATAACTATAAGGTCACTGTACATTTCTCTGTGTATATGCTTTCTAAGATAAAGAGGTTAAATAGCTGAGTAATTATGAAATAACCGCAAATGTCTCCAGTTTTATGATCTCAGTCTTTGAACTTAGCAAGTTCGGGGCTGCGCGGTGGGACATATAGCCAGCAATAGGAAGTAACTGATTTATTTTAAGATTAGAGGTTTGAGTACTTAGTCTTATCTCCTTTTTCTGATGCCTGAGCGCTTGCTTGCGCTCCTTACAACATGGAAAGTTGTACAGCTGAAAACAATGACTTCCAGATTATAAAATTACAGCACATATTATGGAGAAACCATGGAACATACACTGATAGATCTGATCATGACCTTTACTGACTGAGTCAAAAACTCAGAATCAGGTGATACTCAACTCAGTAGCTATATGTACCCGATGATTAACTTCGTAAGTCATACTTTAAGTGAGCGTACATATATATTACAATGCATTGTAAGAGTAAATTGAAAAAAGCTCTTGTGTGAGCCGTAATTTAGCTGTTTGTGTTACTGCTATACGCTAAATAAAACAGAGTGTGCCAGATCATTCTTTTTTTTAAATGTATTACTGGTTTGGTGATACTAGATGCCTATGTAGCACCCCACTTAAGTAGTTGCTTGTCTATTCTTCATTGTGTTTGGTAAAAGACACACTCTATAACAGTATGTTCAGATGTAAATAATTGGGTACCTACTGTAAATAGGAATTGTGTGCCACCACACCATCACAGAATTTATGATATAGAATAGGAACTCTTTTATACAAATTTTTAAATTTTGTAGGTGTCAATGTATAACTGGCAACAGATTAGCTCAGGCCTGAACCTCCCTATCATCAGAGCAAAAATATTGTCTAAGTGAATTTATGTTACCACTCATCAACAACAGAACATTCTGTAGCTTGAACTTGGCCTCCTCTATTTGATATTGCACGTCTACTTTGCATCTTTATCATAGAATATTCAGTTGTTGAACATTTTCACTTCTAAAAATCATCGTTTTGTATATTAATTAGTATAATTATCATCTCTTCTAGGCAGATTTGCAAAGAGTTTGCTGATTTACTGGCCCAGGATCGATCACCACTAGGAAACAGTCGTCCATCACTTATCCTGGAGCCTGGTGTACAGAGCTGCTTGACCCATTTCAGCCTAATCACACATGGATTTGGAGGCCCAGCCATATGTGCAGCTCTCACTGCTTTCCAGAACTACCTATTGGAGTCTCTCAAAGGGATGGACAAGATCTTCATGAACAGTACAGGAAATGGACACTCGGGTGGAGAAGCAAAATCTTCCGAAAAGGACATCAAGCATCGGAAATAACCCCCAATGTAGGGGATTGAGGGAGCTGGGTAGCAAAAAACAATAACAAGGAGATAGGATCCCTGGGATTGCCTGACAGTGGTGTTGGTCAGTGAGCATGAATGAAAATATAAAACACATCTGCTTTCAGTAATGGAGCATGTTAACACAGCCTGAGGGTTGAGATGGAAGACTGACAAAGAGAAAAAAAGAAAAAAAGGATTACATTGTGGCTGATTGCAGAAGATTGAAAAACGGGCACTTTGTTGAGCTCCAATATTCTGTATGTGACTAGTGACTCCTAGCAGTTGGCAAGACACTCATCATACAACAGACTGTCACAGAAATTCCATGGAACTCATGTCAATGTTTGCATGGTACATTGAATACATCTCAACACATTATACCCCAGAGAGAACAAAAATGCGAAAAGCAATATATATATATATTATAGAACCACCCAGTTCCTCATAGCGAGAAAAAAAATGGGCAAAGAGGAATAATAACAAACTTTAGATTGCAGGAAGAAACGGTGTGCGGGTATTGGTCCTAAATTTAAAATCTCACTATCACTAATTGGCTGATATAAACATATGAAAAGTCAATACAACTATACAGAATTAATTTTTGGAAATCACTGCACAAATGCCCATTTAACCAGGGAAATGCTTTTTATTTTTGTTCTAGACAGTAGATTCTATAGTGAATGATATGATCTTTGTGAAGACTGTAAATGATATATTTACAGGAACAATGAAAGAATTAATACTATAGTAAAGTATTGACGTTAACGTACAGGTGTTCAGTTTCATTTCTTGAGACCAGACAACAAACTCTTCCAGAAAATAAGCTTGTAATTGATTGATGTACTTTATTAAGGAGTTTATTGTGAAGTGTCTGTTGTAAGGTCTATTGAATGAAGTTGAGCACCAGTTATTTGGTTTGACAAATTGAACACAGTACTGGCATTAATTGATCGGTCATAGGATACCAATTAATTAGTCAGATAAGTAAAACACTGTTTTTAGATCAGGGCTCACCATTTCAGTGCTATGCTACTAGACTTCAGTGTACAAAATGTATTCACCATTAAAAAGCTGGAGGGTTGAGTGTAGACTCATCAGGTCTGAATTTTCAATTGCCAATTGTGTGAACGAGTGGAAATTTAGCATTACGCAAGACTGACCTTTTCAATATGTTTAAATTTTTGAAATATGCCATAGTGATTAGATTTTATTTGCCTTTATTTATAGCAACTTCTCACAAAAAAATCCATCCAGAATTAACTTATTCACCTTTAATAGAAGCAAAAAAAAAAAAAGATTCCTGCCAGACTGTCTGTTATCCCAGTGAATATAGCACTATCTCAAAGTCACTCTTTTAGTACATGTGACTGATCGCACAACTGGACAATGCAGGGTAGTAGCTGGGTGTAACTGACAGTCCTAAAATCCAGCTATGTAAATCTTAATCCATGGAATATGACTGCTAGTATGTGAGGTTGTCCCAACAATGAGACACTGTTGTTTGGTCATTTGGTGGCAAAACAATATAGACACGTAAACAAGTCAAATATGTCACTGCTCTGTTGCATGAAACAATTCTTTTTTTCCATAAATATGTGTTCTTCTGCACTTTGTATGGAGGAGAAAGGTTCTGCCCTGAACACAAGCACACGGATACTCTGGGAAAAACTTCAAATCAGGTGATGGTAAATCCCTGGCACAATCAGAGAGACTTCTGTACATATTTATTTATGTGTAATTAAATGAGGACGTTTTAAAGATGTTTCAGTACAAGCTATTTATAAATGGAGTGAATTTGGGTATATAATTATTATTTGGGGTATTTTTCCCTTCTTGCACCTGTGGGTGTAAATTCATCCTAGAGGACTCGTCATTTCACGGGCACCTCTGTTGTAAAAAAAAGAAAACACAAATGAAAGGAAAAAAAAATAAAATTCTCTTTAATAAAAAAGAAAAACAATGTAATTTATCTTATCTGAGTCAATATTTTATACAGATAAATGTTTTCATTTGTTTAGATGGAAATAACAAATATCCCTGTAACTTCTTATAGTTATTTATTGTCATTTGGGTTTTCAATGTTTCTACAAAATGTCACCTATCATTGGCACTACCTCAAAATTGTGGTCTGTGTGGACCAGTGTGAAAACATGGAAGTGACTGCTTTAATTATTATCGTTTCCTTGGTAATAGTTTATGCCATTGCATATGTTACAGGTAACATGTAAAATCAGGAATTATAAAAAAAAATGTATAAATATGGTAAGCTAGTCATTAAAACAGCAACAAAATGCAACACATTAAGTTAAAGGAACACTCTAAGGCAGTGATTCCCAAACCAGTCCACATGCCCCTCCCCTACCGGTCAAGGATTTAGGGACTACCCAGGTCCGCCTAAGGTATTTATTTTTTCTAAAAACACCTTATTCGCAACTGGCCAATCCCTGAATCCTGGACTGGTTGTGGTAGTGGGGAGGGCATGACTACTGGTGTGGGAACCTTTACTCTAAGGTTTATGAAAAATATATATTTATTTTTATCAACTAGTGTCCCCCTTTTTTTTTGACAATCAATTTTTATTGAAAATGTTTTCTTTCTTGTTATATCAGTGCATGGTTGGGTACAGAAGTAAAGAAAGGACATGGTATACATAAAATTTGTTACAGGAGACAACTTTTTGTCAGAAGGATGAGAACTGGTCATGAGTAAAACAACCAAACATTGACATATTCACATGAGGGTACAATAAGGCAGGGAGATCAGCGATAAAGCTTATGAGCACAACAGTGCAACACAGTGGGAAGGGCACAATCAGGCTGTCTTCTAAATGTACTCCTAACCAGATGGGGGTGTTGGTGTTGGTGTGGCAATACACACCATAAAGTATGGGTGAATCCCCAGTCATCTGAGAGCCGGAGCATCTGGTTACGGGAGGTTAGGCTCCCAGTAAATAGCTGAACTAAGGCCGAACACATGAACTGTATCTGGCTAAACAGTAATCAAGATTATAAATAATAAAACTGAATAGGCATCAAATGTCCCTTTCTTTTATTAAATTCAAAACCCTCCCTTAAAAAAAAAGTTAAAACTTTTTAAATGCCATATTCCGAGTTCATGATGAAATACTTTTAATGGCTGTCATTCTGGCATTGCAGTTTCTCTGAAATGGCAATATATAGAGAAAGGGTATGGGCTCTGTGCACCAACATCACTTCCTGAAGTGATTTTGGTGTTTAGAGTATCACTCACAACACTCATTGGCCTTGTTTTAGCACTTCCATTAGTTTACGTTCATTTAAATACTTTAGATTTAGGAATGAGGCTGGAAGTTCACTGGGTATTATAGAAGTTTAATTAACTTAATATACTGATGTCTGCCCAGTCACTAGTAACTCACCCACCCCTCCGTGCCTCCATCCATGGGCACTGAGTATTGGGTGTGGGGTCCAGGTGGGCTATCAATTAATATAAAGGTGCAGAGACATAGTGAGACTGGCACGTCGAGGGGAAAAAAGGTAATTAAAATAACCTTTCCAAGACTAAACGGTTAGTTTAACACTATAGTGTTCTTTAGCAATTCGGTCCATTATGCAACTAAATATTTTTTTTTAATATCAGTATATTTGTGGGTTATGCAAAAATGCAAACACAGATTTGTAGCACTATTTGCTAACTAATTAGCATTGTCTATGGATATTAAATAGAACAATATTTGTAAATAAAGACAATCTTCTGATGAACAACAAAATATAACTCTCTTACCAGCTATATCCCCTCTAAATATTTCCAAAAGAAAGACACAACTTGCCTTCATTAAGATTCTTGGATAATAGTCCATGAGCTCAGAACTGTCCATCTTAAAACGCCACATTATGTTGTAATGCTTCATGGTTAACCCTGAGCCCTCCTTGTTATTTACTATAATAGTAGAAACAAAGGTGGAAGCTATGAAAGGTCTGATGATTAAGGACAGTACTAGGGGGAAACCTTTATTATTATTATTATTGGTATTTATATAGCGCTAGCTTTTTCCACAGCGCTTTAAGAAAATGAATTCAAAACAGACAGGAAAGGGGGCAGGGGGCACTGTCACTAGATAAAGGAAGCTCAATAAAACATAATGTTTATTAGTTATCACATATATTTATTTGATAACAATTATATTTAATTTTAAAATCAATTTTGTGTAAAACTTTGTAGCTATATTAGATTCTAGTTATGGCCAATTTTTTCTAGGATTTAATACAGAAAGTATATTAGACTTATTCTTGCAATTATATATATTTTTTGCATATATTTTTTTTGATAACTAATAAACGTTAGTACCCGACAGTACCCCACCCCCTTCCTTTTTCCTGCCTGTTTTGAATTTATTTACTATACTGCTTTATGTAAAATGAAAAGCACAAACATATTTCTTTTAGAGATTGTGCTGAAGACATTGTGTAATGTTCCATGCCCCAATTACGTAAACTATCTATATAGACTTACACAATACATTCAAATGATATAGAGAATGGTAAAAGTCATTCAACACAATCCAAGAATATTTCGAACATATTTATTAGTATGAATTGATGTCGGACATTAACATGGATAGTGAGTAGATGAATTACTTTTTCCCCCCGTTCTTTTTTTTATTCTCAGAATAGATAAAGACATACATTGTACAAATAGCCATATAAAACGGCTAACGGAATATAACGGTATCACATCAAAATCATTAGAAGCAGGTCTTAAGGTGGTGAGAATTCAATAAACACTTGTAGGGTCATGGCATCCAGAAGCATATAATGTCCCTTTGTTCATGGTCCTAAAGAGTCCCAAGAGTAGAGTTGGAGCGGAAAATTAGGGTGACATCATTGTGGGAGCATATTATGAGACAATTGAGTACAACAAAACATAACCCTAATATTGTTAGTCTTCTCACGTCATTTGACAGTAGACACAGTGTAGGCAGACAGAAGTCGTGTATCAATTAGGTGTGACACTCTTTCCCTGGTTCTGAGGGTTTTTCAGAAATTTTGTAAAGAAAGAAAAATAGAAGAAAACCGAGACGAGAGGGTGTCGGTCTTGAAAAAGAGAGGTAAAGATAGAGGAAGAGAAGAGAAAAGATTAGTAGGAAATGAGGTCAGCAGGTCTCTGTTCGGCAATGCTGGGGAGGGGAGGGAGAGGGGTAGGACTACTCATCATGTCTCTAGGGTCTTGCTTAGTGTGTATCTGTATAGTTCTCCCATGGCTCCCAAACATTTGAGATGTCTCCATGGACCCCCGTACCTGAGCTGTCAGTTTGAAGCACCATGTTTACGGGAGGTGTGGTGGGTTTTAGCCATGTCTGGGCTAGTGAACGTCTAGCAGCTAGTGTAATTTTGTTGAACAACTGCTGTTCAGCTCTATGCCAAGCATCGATAGGTTTAGCAAGTAGAAAGGCCATTGATTAAGGTTAACAGGTCTAGAGAATATTTGGGATATCGGTATCATGACTTCTTTCCAAAACAATGTTACTTAGGGGCAGCTCCACCACATATGTTCATAGGTTCCCTTGATACTGCAGTCCCGCCAACAGAGATCCGTGGGTGTTTTTTTCATATGATACAATTTAACTGTCATGGTATAACACCTGAACATGGTTTTGTAAGATTGTTCCTGCATGGTGACACAGATGGAAGTTTTAGAGTTAGCCTCCTATATGTCCTGCCAGCCAACACCCTCAAGAGTCTCTGAAGCCCAGCATGCTCCAGACCCCTAAAGTCTCTGACTCTCATGCCCGGGACAGAAGCTCTGTGGTGGTATATCTTGGTGAGAGGAAGGGGGGAAATTAGTTCGTATTTGTGGGCGGATTTATCCCAGATCTGGATTGAGTTTGTGATAGACGGGCAATTTGTTTGAAAGAGTGCTATGTGCTCTCTAAGGGCCCAAATGTAGAATTGCAGGAGGTCTGCTCCCATGAGTAATGATTCTAGATCTACCCATCGTGGGGTCGGTAGGTTGAGGGGACGGGGGGAGGGGAGTGCCAGAGAGCTATTTGTGCTACTTGGGCGGTAGGTGGTAAAAGTGTAAATGAGGCAGTCCCAGTCCCCCCCTCATCTTTGGTAGATAAAGTATGTTACGTGATATTCTGTGTCTCTTGCTTTGCCAAATGAACCGGTCAATGGCCTTCTGAAGGGGGGCTAGATCTTGCCTCAATATGGGGAGGGGCAGGGACTGGAATAAGAATAAGATTTGAGGGAGGATGTTCATTTTTATGAAATGGATTAGTCCGATTCAGGAGAGGGGTTTGTCTGCCCAGGTTTCTATGTCCAATATGAGTGTGCTGATCATGGGTGTGTAATTCAGTAGGTGTAACTGGGAGGGATCAGCCGGTAGTTTGATACCTAGATATGTGAGAGATGTGGGTGAGATGTGGATGTGGTAGGATTCATTAATGTGGATGATGTCTGCCATTCACGGCTGGCGGTATGAAGATCGGGACCCCTGAGTGCCTGATGAATAGATGAGAGTCTTCAGGGATGAAGTGGATTATCAGAGCCTGGTGCAGGGTAACCACACTTTCTTGCTTTTCAGGGATGATATGGCTGCATTTATTTCATCACTGGAGATAGGGGCTGATAGTTCTGCAATGGCGGTGGTGTACAATTTGGGTAACTTTAAGCGAGTGAGGAACTCTTTTATGTTCGGGGGTTGAGTGTATCTTCTAGGGGGGAGTGGTTATACAGCGTTTTGAAGAAAGATGTAAATATCTGGGGAGGTTTTCAGTGGGAATGACTTCTAAAAATATCTTCACATTCATAAGGTTCCAGGTTTGATTCACAAATCTTGAAACACTGCTAGTGCATGCTTGGTATAATTATTCTAGGGCAGAACATGCGAGTACCAGCATGTTTCGCTGGATACATAAAAAATTTTCATGCTCATGGTTAGGA